ATTTATTATAGTTTTATAATGGGAAAAATGAATATTAATTTTTTGCCATTTTGTGCAAAATAAATAAAATTATAAAATTAATGAATTTAATACAGTAATACTGTTAAGCCTACAAAGTCTGGTGGGTCCAAATCCCACATATCCCTCAGTGTAACTTTTAGAATATTCATTGAGTTCTTTCTTGACAAGCCCTCTTTCCTGTCGCTGGGATAAACATTAAAATTTCTGGGTATTTCTTCAACTAAGGTTAACATAAAAGATCACAACGGCAAGTTAATATAATTCAAGTAAAGGGGTAGTAAGGACAACACAGAATTCCAATAAAGTCAAATCTATTTGAAAAAAGGGAAATTGTGGAAATAAACGAAGGTACAAACTATCAGGGTAAGAGCACAGATTGTGTTAGTTTTGCTTGTTTCCTTTGGATAGATCTTGAAGCCCTTTCTCTTTGCTGAAGCACAAACTATGTTTTATGTTTTAGCAACACAGTAATTAATTATACTTCTATAGCAATTTCTTTCAATCTTTATACTTTTCAGTATGTTCACGGGCTATTATAAGCCTCTGAATTTGCGCGGTACCTTCATAAATCTGCAAGAAAAACATAAAGGGAGGTTAGACACCTGGATTCGTTTAATATTTTGGACAACAGTATAAGCTCCACTGATACACAACTGAAAAAGAATTTTATGAAAACAGTTTAAATCATAAAAAATAAATTTTACCAAAATTTGGAGACAACCTTGAAAACACTGAGGTGTCTGGGAAAGCTGGTTAGCATTACCCAAATATTCCAACTTCTCTGCGCTGAGCTTAGCTGCGTCCCCTTCAGTTCTTCGCTGTTTTCTTTTTAAGTTTTTTTTGTTTGTATGAGTGTCTTGCCTGCATGTAAGTGTGCCTCTGCGTGCAGAAGCCACAAGAGGGCATCATATCTCCTGGAACACACAGTTGCTGGGAACTGAACCTAGGTCCTCTGCAAGAGCAGCCAGTGCTCTTAACCTCTGAGCCATGTCTGTCCCTTCTACTAAACTTGATTTTTTTTTTCTCCTACTGCCTAAAGAAATGTTAAAAAATCAAGGTGTTGGAGGGCTTTGGTCCCTGGTAATCCTCATTCCCATTCTAAGATCCTGACTTCAGCTGTTTGTGAAGCTGAGGTTTCCAGTTTCTCAAGTGGCAGAGAGAAGTTAAATTGTTAATATTGACAGGAATATTTATAATGCTTTAGGCTTTGGGAAGGGGAAATAGTATCAGATAAACTGGTGACTTTGGGTAGGATGCAAAGTCTGGTTTTCAGTTTTCTTGTGTCTAACTAAAAACACTGACAATATACAATATTTGATGGTCATTTTTTTTTTTTTTTTGGTCTTATTGAGACAGGGTCTCTCTGTAGTCCCAGCTTGCCTGGAATTCACTATGTAGACCAGGCTGGTCTTGAACTCACAGAGATCCACCTGCCTCTGACTCTGGAGTGCTGGGATTAAAGACATGCATCACCACGCCCAGCTAGTCCTGATTTTTTTTTTTTTTTTTTTTGTTTTTTTTGAGACAGGGTTTCCCTGTAGGCCCCCCTGTCCTGGGACTCCCTATGTAGACCAGGTTGGCCTTGAACTCACAGAAATCCGCCTGCCTCTGCTTCCCGAGTGCTGGGATTAAAGGCGTGTGCCACCATGCCAGGCTAGTCCTGATTTTTAAAATCTATGAATTAAAACAAAAACAAAAACTCTGATGTGTCACCCACATTTCTCAATCTGGCATTCTGCCTCTGCCTCTGTATCTCAAATGATTAGACTAGTCGGCTCATTCGCTGGAGGTAGGCAGAACAAGGGATGGGTGTTAAGGTGCATGGGCCATAGCACCCATGTAGGGAGAACACACAGTCACAGCTTTTTTACTGTTACCCCTAATGTTTTCTAATGGCCAATTTAAAAAGAGTCAAGCACACTTCTCATGGGGACATGGATTTTCACTCTGTGTATAGCTTCAATTAATTCAAAAGTTGTCTGACAAAATTCAAAACAAAATAATTACTTTTAAATGGCCCGCATATTTTTAGAGTAAAATGTTGACTGTAGTTGGCTAAGATCTGAAAACTCAAAGGCCAAATTAGATTAGTGACATGTCCCTATGCCACCAACCTCCCTAGCCCATTCCTCTTAACATCTACACTTAGTGAAAAAGAACATAAAACACTCTTGTGTGCTGATTAGTAACAACATGTGCCTCATAATAATCTACAACTGTCATTTAATTTTTACATTTGTGTGTCTATGCATGTCACAGCATGTGTATGTGCATGTCACAGCATGCATGTGGAACTCAAGAGTATAACTTGTAGAAGTCAGTTCTCTCTACCATGTGGGCTCCACAATCGAACTCAGGTCATCTGGTCTTTACCCTCAGCCATCTTGGTGGCCCAGCTGTCATTTATTACTGGTGGCTTACAATCCCCTAATGACTAAAATCTACTGTCATTTATGAATATCTTCTTATGTCTCCTAAGAAACGAGGCCTTTGACCTTACCTGATAGATCTTGGCGTCCCTCATCAGCTTTTCCACGGGGTATTCTGTATTGAATCCGTAGCCTCCAAAAATCTGCACGGCATCGCTCGCTAGCTGATTGGCAATATCTCCAGCAAATGCCTTTGCGATTGAGGCATAGTAGGTATTGCGGCGGCCAGAGTCCACCTCCCAGGCTGCTCTCTGGTAGCTCATTCTAGCTAGCTCAACTTTCATTGCCATCTCTGCAAGCAAGAACGCAATTCCTTGGTGCTGGGAGTAAAGGAAAAAGAACAGGGTACGGATAGTACTGGCTGGGCCAGAGAGACGCCTCAGTGGTTAAGACCGCTGGTCCTCTGGCAGATGACCCCGGTTCAGTTCCCAGAACCTACATGGTGGCTAATAACTGTAACTCCAGTTCCTAGGGATCTGATGTCCTCTTTTGACCTCCTTGGGCGTTGCATGACACAGGTGCACTTACATGCATGTAGGCCATATACTCATACACATAAAATAAAAAAATTAAATATTAAAAAGATGGGATGCTGCCGGGTGTGGTGGCACACGCCTTTAATCCCAGCACTTGGGAGGCAGAGGCAGGCGGATCTCTGTGAGTTCAAGGCCAGCCCGGTCTACATAGTGAGTTCCAGGACAGCTGGGGCTACAGGGAGACCCTGTCTCAGAAAGACCAAAAAAAAGAAAAAAGATAGGATGCTGCGTATCCTTGTCTAGAGGCTGATAATCAGATCAGTGTCACAGAACACATTCTACTGTTATGAACAGTTATGAACAATATGGTCAGTACGCATTACAGGATGGAAATGTTTATCATATACTGTTATCAAGGTTTCAAATATACAGTATGACAACTTTGGAAACTATGCTCAAGGAAAAAAATAAAAGCAAGCTATTTTCTGTATCTTTGGGAGACAGACTTATGGATGAGTTTTAATATTTAGCTTAATGTTTTAACAAAACTGTTTTATACTAAAACAGAACATGCGGTTTAAGATAATATATATTAAAAAGAGTCTTGTAGGCATTTGGGAGAAACATTAAGGTGACTGCAAGCCCCATTCATGTAGTAAATATGAAAATGGATTTTGAAGGCTTAGAAGTAAAAACCAAATCCTCTGATTGAGTAGAGACTACGAAGCAAAGATCTTAAGAAATAAGACGCCGAGCTCCATAATTTCACACGTTCACCATTTTCATAACCCGAACCTGGTTACACTGCTCCTCACGCATGTGACATGTCACTTGAGACAGGCATCGTGATTAGGCCATGCAGGAGGTAGGACTGGCCATTGTGAAAGTCTCCTCCAACAGGGGTCATGCCCTCCATTTCTCTATCTTTTAAAAGGATTTATTTCACTTTATTTATGCATATGGCTATAGGCATGAGTGCAAAGCCTTCAGAGTCCAGAAGAGGGTGTCAGATCCCCTGGAACTGGAGTTGCAGGTTGTGAGCTGCCCACTGTGGGTGCTGGGGACCGAACCCTGGTCTTATGAAGAGCAGTACACCTTTAAATGCTCACAACCACTTCACTCTTTAAATTATTACTTATTTTTATTTTATGTGTATGAGTGCATTGCCTGCATGTATGTGAGTGCACCCGTGTTATGCAGTGCCCTTGGAGGTCAGAAGAAGGTGTCAGATCCCCTGGAACTGGAGTTACAAACAGTTTTAAGCTGCCATGTGAGTGCTGGGAATCGAGCCCAGGTCCTCCCTGCAAGAGCAGCTGGTGCTTTTAACCACTGAGCCATCTCTCCAGCCCCTGCCCTCTGCATTTCTGACTAAACGGTGCCTGTTCTTCTAAACTAAGAATTCTTTCAACGTTTTCTTTTCTTTTTCAGGCTTGCCTTGATCTCAGAGCAGATTCCAAGATTACAGGTATAGACTTCCAGTCAGCCTGTTGTATTTCTTATTTGTTTGTTTCAGGGCCTTGCTATGTAGCCCAGGCTACTTGGAACTCTTCCTCCCTCAGTCTCCTGAGTGCTACCACCACAGACTTGACTTTATTTTTTGAATAAGTAGAATACACCAGTTTTTAACACCAGTTAAAAATATAAATGGCCAGGCATGGTGGCACATGCCTTTAATCCCAGCACTCGGGAGGCAGAGGCAGGTGGATCTCTGTGAGTTCCAGGACAGCTGGGGCTACAGAGAGACACTGTCTCAAAAAGACCAAAAATGAATGAATGAATGGACCAGAAAGATGGCTCAGCGGCTAAGAGCACTGGCTGCTTTTCCAGAGGACCTGGGTTCAATTTTCAGCACCCACATGACAGCTAACAACCTTCCATAATTCCAGTTCCAAGAGATCCGATGCCCCCTTCTGGACTCTGTGGGCACTGCATGACATGGGTGCATTTACATACATGCAGGTAAAACACTCATCACATAAAATAAAAATAAATAAATCAGAAAAATATCTAAATGAACAAAGTGAATGTTTCCCTCCTCCTATCCCTCTGCCTCCTGCCCCTCTTCTCTGCCCCCCCTCTCAGGTGGTAAGCAATGTTATCAGTAGGTTTTCTAATCTTTCCTGAGGAATTTTATACACACATAAACAAATATATCTTTATTTTCCGTTTTTTTTTTTGTTTGTTTTACACATGCTAGCCTACTAGGTTGATGGTTTTTCAATGCTTTTTGGAAAATTGTATACAACCTTATCAATACTTAAAGAATGTTCTTATTTTTTACAGTTACAAAGCATTCCATCCATTTTATGGACAGATGATCAGCACTGTGGTTATGTCTGCATGATGTTGAAAAGTAGGACAAGTCCCATACAGAACACAGCTTGGATTACCCTTATGTCAGCCCAGAGTAGGTGTGTTCAGTGTATTTTGCTGAACGTGACTCACAGAAGTTATACCAACTTCAAGTCTCATCAATGATACAGGCATACAAGAGCTTATTTCACCAGCACACGAGCATGTTTTGCTTTGTTTTGTTTCTTTAAGGATGTGCACACCCCCCAATACAGTTTTGAAAATACCTGGAGTGGTGCTTGGGTCTATACAGCTTTAAGTGTTTAAATTGTATTTATTTGTGTGTATGCATATAGGCATGCACGTGCCAGTGTGAGTTGGAGGTTGGAGAACTTGAGGAGCTGGGTCTCTCCTACCCTGTAGGACCCAGTGGGGACCAAACTCAGTCAGAATTGGCAGCAAACACCTTTACTTTCAGAGCCATCTCACAACCCAAGTGATGCAGTTCTAACAAACACTCCCAGCAAGTTGCATTCAGTTGGGGAACTCAGTTCCAAACTCAGTTCCTATTCCCTGTAACCCTCCAGTCCTTGGTTAACCTCTTTCCTTCTGACTTTGGCAACTGTCTTACAGATGCTATTTGGAGACTCAAGTGTTATGCTTCTTGGTAGTGTTTGTGAGTATCTGTCATATGATAAATAGCTTATCTCCAAAGTAAAGCCTCCAGAGGGTAGAAACCATCAAAATTCTTTGGCGTCCCATGTAAAGAGAACAGGCTCTGTAAATATGTGGTTATTTGGATTCGAGTCTTGGTTTTATCGTTTATTAGCTGAGCCTAATGTTCTTATATGTAATAAATGAAAAGGGCGGTGTGCACAGTACTGGGGGAATTAAACAAGTTCACACACACAACACATTTAGAATAGTGCTTGGAACAGAGAAAGCATTCAACTACTAGTATTTTAATATAGTGGATATTCAATTACTATTTGTTAGATGAGATAGACATTAATGAGTACAAGACATACCCTGCATGCTGGGAGTATGAACATGTCTAAAAATAGAAACTCCAGGGGGCTGGAGAGATGGCTCAGCGGTTAAGAGCACTGACTGCTCTTGCGGAGGACCCAGGTTCGATTCCCAGCACCCACATGGTGGCTACGAACCATCCTTAACTCCAGTTCCAGGGGAATCCGAAGCCGCCTTCAGAACTCTGCGACATTGCACGACACAGGTGCACCTACCTACATGCAGGCAGTACACACATACACATAAAATAAAAATAACAAATAAAATATTAAAAAAAAAAAACTCCATTCCCCCACGGAACAGACCCTCCTGGGAGTGTAAGGCCACACGGGCAACAGGCCACACCATGCAGTGTTGGGTGGTGACAAGTGCTAGGTTGGAGGTGTTACAAGGCACAGCACGAAAGGAGGGAAAAGCTACTGAAGCGCTGAAGCGGATGAGGAGGTGGTGGGATCTGAAGGAAATGGAAGAGAACATTTGGGGAAAAACAAAGGGAACGGGAACAGCGAGCAGAGCAGTCTGACGCGCCAGACCACTAACTTTACCCAGAGGGTTTTCAGTAGGTAAAAGAGTGCCAATGACTGCACTGACGGATTACCATCCCGTAATCTGTTGCCAGTGTTCCCGGTTTTAATCACATGTAAGAAAAGAATGCCACCTTCTTTCTCAGGCAGTCATCTTCAGTCATATCAGGTTAAGCAAAAAGAGGAGCTATACAGACACACACACGCACTCATTTATATATATATAAATGAGAGAGAGAGAGAGAGAGAGAGAGAGAGAGAGAGAGAGAGAATCTCAAAGCTATATAACACAAACAGAGGAGCCGGGTGTGCTAGCGCACACCTTTAGTCCTGGCACTCAGGAGGCAGAGGCAGGTGGATCGCTGTGAGTTCAAGGCCAACCTGGTCTACATAGTGAGTTTCAGGCCAGCTGGGGCTACAGGGAGACCCTGTCTCAAAAAGACAAAAAAAAAAAAGAAAAGAAATAGTGCCAGGAAGGAGAAACCTCCCTTCGAGCTGTTGATCAGGGTAGTCCAAGAGACTCACAAAATAATACAGGCCATTGCCATAGCCCTTGAGTGCTTCTCAGAACTTGAAGCTAAACTTTATTGCTGAAGTCAGGACATACTTCAGACACAGGACTTGGAGCAATGGAGATGGAACTGACCTGGAAGGTTCCTTGAAGACTAACTCTCATGGTATCAGAAGACACTATGCAACTTCTAAGGGAGAAAACAAATCAATGGTCTAACCCAGCTGTAATAGGGGCGGTAGATGACCACAAGGAAACAATTTTTCATGCAGCTGGGAACTTGCTCATATGAACTTACAGCAGTGGTAACAACATGCACAAGGTCCATGCAAACTCAAACCATACAAAAACCCAGCACAGAAGTGGGGAAATGGGTAGGAAGCCCCAACCTTAGCTGCAGAAATATTGGCAGCTGATCACTGCTGGATGAGGGAGGGTTGTTCTTCTTTAAGGGAGTGACAGTAGTCAGGCTGACGAGGCTCCCACGGATGAACTCGCACCAAGGAACATTTAGGGACACAAACTTGACTCCATAGGCCTTAATATGACAGAATGCATAAAATCCCACAGAGGCACTGTGGGGGGTGCAGATAGGGGAGCAGGTCTAAATGTGATCAGTATGTATTGTATGAAATGCTCAAAAATTCAGTAAGAAAATAAAAAGAAAATCAAGCCAGGTGTGATAGTGCACACCTTTAATCCCAGCACTTGGGAGGCAGAGGCAGGTGAATCTCTGTCAGATCAAGGACAGCCTGGCCTACAAAGTGAGTTCCAGGCCATTTGGGGCTACAGGGAGACCCTGTGAAAAGAAAGAAAAGGAAGGAAGGCAAAGAGGGATTGAGGGAGGGCGGGAGGAAGGGAGGAAGGAGGGAGGAAGTAGAACCCAGTCAGGCATGATGACACATGTCTTTAATCCCAGTGCTCAGCAGGCAGAGAGGCAGGCAGATCTCTCTGAGTTCCAGGTCAGCCTGTCTACACAGTGAGACCTTGTCTCAATAAAACAAAAAGCTGGGCACTGTGGTGCTCACCTGCACTCTCAGCACTGGGGAGGCAGAGAAGGGAGGTCCCTGGAGCTCACTGGCCAGCCAGCCTAGCCTAGCTGGTGAGCCCAAGGTCAGTAAGAGACAAAAAAAAAATCTACAGTGCCTGAGAAGGGACACCCAAGGTTGTCCTCTGGTCCCCATACAAATGTGCACACACATACCCATGGACACACACACACACACACACACACACACACACACACACTATTTACCTCTACAAGCAGTTTTCCGAACGTTTTCCTTTCCAGGGCATACTTGGTAGCTTCGTCCAAAGCTCTCTGGGCTAACCCAACAGCACCAGCTGCTACCTAGAATGTTAATATTGTACAAACCAGAAGTTCATATTGTCATTAAACCACACAGCAGATATCTATCTGCCTAAGATGCTTAGTTAAGGATTATATAGACAAGATTAATATAACGAAACTGGGGTCATTGGGAGTGGAGCAGTTAAGTACTTAGGCTTATATTATTTTTTAACTAAAGGCAATCAGAGGTGTTAGGAATATAACTCAGTGACCTTAGCCTTCCATAGACTCTGAGTTTATGTCCGTTGCCACAAAAAGAGAAAAAGGAAAAAGGCTAATTGCAGTTTTATGAAGCACAGATCACAGCCTAGGAGAAACGTCATTGGAGCCCTCCTTGAGGAGTAAGGAAACGAGTCTACAATCAACAGGAAGATGGAGTTAAGAGTGGACTTTCTGGAAATACAGCAGAGCACATTTCAGCCTTTGCTAAATGAATTTCTACAATGAGCAGCCAAAGTAGTTGAGCTATCCATAATAAAAGTAACATGCTCTCATCTCTACCTTAAGGGTAGAGATGTTAAAAGCAGACGTTAAAGAAGAAAAAACCACAGCACATACAATACTAAAATAAAAAGTTACTAACACCACAAATAAAGAACCTGAAAGACGGCAGCTTACTGTGGGTCTGGTTCTGTCAAAAGCTCCCATTGCAATCTTGAAGCCGGCTCCTTCACCAATTAAAACATTTTCCTTGGGCACTCTGACATCCTCAAAGGTGATTCCTCTGGTATCAGAACATCTCTGGCCCATGTTTAATTCCTAACAAGATTGTATAAGGAGGAGGAGTCACAGCAGTGTTAAGGTGAACCATTCCTTACTGCCTGCTTGAAGTTACCTGCAGGAGGGCCACAGCGGAGGGTCGGCAGCTCCCGCTGGGAGAGGACAGAGCATCTCAGGAATTGGGACCTGCTGCCTGTCTGCCTATCTCCTGTGGCTCCTCTCTGGCCACAGTGGCAGAATTGAGTTGTGCAACAGACTTCATGGCTCACAAAGCCATCTGTGTTTACAATCTGGATCTTTCTAGAAATGTTTGCCAACCCTAGTCAAAACTAATTATTTCATGCTGCAAACAGCACTAATCTAAAGCTCTATATTATAATGCCTGTACTTTGTACAAGTTTGAAAGCTTTCTTTTTTTACTCTGAGGGGAAAATCATTTAGCAAACACAAGGTCATCTGGGACCTGTCATCTTCAGCAAAGTGATCTACTTAGCAAAACATGGATTTTGTTTTCCGCCCACTTTTTTCTTTTACATTTATTTACTTACTTTGTTGGCGGGGATAGGGGGAGGTCATGGCAGAGGGCAGGGGTAGGGGCATGGCAGAAGTCTTGTGGGGGTCTCAGGATGTCTTGGAATCAGTTTTCTCCTACTATATGAGATTTGGGATCAAACTCAAGTCGTCAGGCTTGGAGGCAAAATCCTTTTACCCACTTGAGCCATCTCACTGGTCCTCCAACTCTCTCTTAAAATTTGGCATGTTGATACAGAATTTACATGTGAAGATTCTCCCTCTGTATGTAGTACTCACGTGAGAATGTGCCATATGATTTTTAGTGGATGCTGGAAAATGCAGGTAGTACCAGTGTTGTGCCCAGTGGATAACTGTTACTGCAACTGGCCTCCATCTCACAGGGATCTGCTTGCCTGTGCCTCCCGAGTGCTGGGACTGAAGGCGTGCACTACCACATCAGACCCCTTTTTGTTTTTTGAGGCAGTATCTTACTCTGTAGCCTGGGCTGGCCTTGAACTTGCAGCAATCCTCCTGCCTTGGCCATAGGAGTGCCTGGATTGTATGTGTGAGTCACTACACTTTCTATTTAAGATTTTCAGACCATGGTTGACTTAGGGAAACTGTAGCTGTTGAAGTCAGCACTGTGCGTAAAGGGACCGGTGTTCACAGCCATTCCACTTGGTTGTTGCTGAGATGGGTCTCCCTGCCTCTGCCTCCAAAGTGTTGGGATTAAAGGTGAGCACCACTACACCCAGCTCTCGAACCACTTTGACTCAAGCTTATGAGTGTAGCCATCACCACAGTCACCTCAGCACCCAGACATTGCCTGTCCTGCCTCGGCCGGTCAGCTTGCTGCACCTCCACCTGCGAAGTCAGGGCTCTCATCTCCCCATTGTGCTCCTTACCCACAATGCAAGTGGAACAAGTCAGCTTTCCATGCTTGACTTTTCATTTAGCATCGTGCATCTGAGAATCGTGCTTGTGCACAATCAGTGACTCATGCTTCATGGTTGCACAGTAGTGCACGTTAGGACGTACCATGCAGCTCTTGTGCACACTGGATGAATATTTATTATTTTCTCCTGGTTTTCAGCAGCAATAACACAGCTGCTATGAGCATCATGTATGTCTTTGTTTTCATCTCTCTTGGTAAACTCCTGGGAATACCAGGTATGTAGTACATGCTTAACTCTACTTTAAAAATTTTACTAAGCTGGGGCTGGACAGATGGCTCGGTGGTAAAGAACAGTGGCTGCTCTTACAGAAGACTGGGGTCTGGCTCCCAGCACCCACCCACATGACGGCTAACAACCATCTGTAACTCCAGTTCCAGGGAATCCGATACCCTCTTCTGGCCTCTGTGGGAACTGTACAACACAGGACACTTCACACACACACACGCACGCACGCATGTATGCATACACATAAAACAAAAATAAATTAAAAAAAATTTTTTTTACTAAGCTAATACTGGATGTGGCGGTGCACGCTTTTGATCCTAGCACTTAGGGAGCAGAGGCAAGTAGATCACTGAGTTTGAGGCCAGCCTGGTCTAAATTGTAAGTTCCAGGCTAGCTGGGGCTACATGGTGAGACCCTGTCTCAACCCCCTCCCATTTTTTTTTTTTTTACTAAACTATATCAACTGTCAACATTTTGACACAATTATCTCTCTCTGTCTCTCACTCAAGAGTGCGTGAGAGTGCGTGCATGTATGTATATGTGTGTGTGTGTGTGTGTGTGTGTGTGTGTGAATATTAAGTGGAAAATGCTGAATCATTTGAAAGGCAGTTGCAGATAATGAAACTCCTAAAGGAGAAAAATCAGTCTTGCCATTAAGCAAGAGCAGAGGCGGAGGTGGTGGAAACATGGGGGTGACAGCCTCATTCTTTAATTTGGTGGCTTTAACATTAAGTCTTTAACATTAAGTCTCAGATATAAAGTGCTTGCTGTGTAAGTATGAAGACCTGAGTTCAGTTGCTAGTATACATATCAACATAGCCAGGTGTGGTGGCACACACTTGTGATCTCAGCACTGTGGAGGTGGGTGGACACAGGCAGATCCCTGAGGTTAGCTGGCCAGCCAGATTACCCTATTTGGTGAGTTCCAGGAGGGCGAGAGACCCAGCCTCAAAAAACAGGTGGACAGCAATTGAATGACAGCTGAGGTTGACCGCTGGCCTCCACATGCACACACATGTGAACCTGCACACATACATGTGAAGTACATGCACAAACATCCACACATGGGCACACACATGAACCTGTACATATACAAACACCCACACACATGTGAACCTGTACACATACATTCACACATGCACACACACATGAACCTGTACACATACATTCACACACATCCACACACACATGACCCTGTACACGTACAAACAGCCACACGCATGCCCACACACATAAACCTGTATACATGCAAGCACCCACACACATGCACACTCACATTAACTTGTACACATGCAAACATCCACACAAGCACACACATGAACCTGTGCACAAGCATCCACACACATACATACATGAACCTGTACACATGCAAACACCCACACACATGCACACATGCAAACATCCACACACGCACACACACACAGTCTGCTTCCAGATTTGAATGGTGATAATAATGTACGTATATGAAACCAACATCCTTTAATTTTCATTTTAAAAATTAATGCTAACAATCTATATAATCTATAATAAAAACTTCAAACCCACATTTAAAACCAAAATGCTTTCTAGACTCATCTCAAAACACATGATTTCTATGACACAAAACATTTTGACAATATGAATCTCACAAATTTATAAATGGCCTTTTGTTTTAAAGAATATCTCAGAAGGCTAAGCTGATAATAAAATTATCTGTACCCCTCACCAAGAGTTCCCCAAGCATAGAGATGTTTATCAATACATTCTCCCTAATAACCAGAATAGTACTTAACATATAATATGTATTCAAAGTGAATATTTATTGAATTAAAGTTTTCTTAAGTAACAGAATTGGGTGAAAAGACAAGATTAGAAACAGCAAGACAAAACCAGAGTGGGATCATCACTGGGAAGCACAGGCCCCAGGGCTCTTTCTGCTTTTCAGAGATGGGCCATAGGTTGGCCTGGAGTCTGCTAGCAACCATCTCTAAGGGGGAAACATGACTTGTTATGCACAGAAAAAAACCAATCTCTAGGAAGAAGCACAATTATTCATAATACTTATATTTTGTTATATAAATAATGTCAGTAGTCTATTTGTAAAGTACAGTCTACCTTAAATATTTTTTCTTAAAAATATAGCACATTGTCATGTCAGAAAGTGCACAGGCCAAGTTACTAGACTATGTTGATAGGAAACAGTGTACTAATGATCTCAATAAATCACCAGTCAGTAAATCATATATTTGGAACTTGGTTTTAGTAGTCAATGAACAGACCACACTAAACAGTATTCAGAATATCTCAGCCTTTGAACTTGCATGACCTATGACCTAGAAGAAAAGTCCAGTCCCCGCCCCTTTGTTTTGAGACAAACTCTCACTGTGTAGTTGAAGCTGCCCTAGAACAGGTGACCCTCTAGCCTCAGCCTCCCTAACACCAGGCTTAAAGGTGTGCACCACCAGGCTCAGCAGAAGTTCATACATTTTGCATACTCCAGCAACATGTTTCCACCTTAAAGAGGCCTGGCACAACATAAGGGGATTCTACAAATACCGTAGGCTGGTTTAGAAGTTTAACTATCACTTGAAGTTAGTTTTTCCAGCTCAGACAATGGAGACCAACTCAGTATCTAACCAAGTGATCTGAACTTTTCCACATCTGGGAGCAGGAAGTTAGTTAGGTGGCCTTCTGTGACTCTCACCTACTTCCATGTTCCTCCTTTGCCTTAGCTGTAGATATCATTAATAGTTTTATCTTTAAAAAAATCCATTTTGAGGCTGCAGAGCTGGCTCAGTGGTTAAGAGCACTGGCTGCTCTTACAGAGGACCCTGGTTCAGTTCCCAGCGCCCACATGGCAGCTAAGAACTGCCTGTAACTCCAGTTTCAGGGAATCTGATGCCCTTTTCTGGCCTCAGAAAAGTGCATCAGAAAAGTGCGTAAGTTCACCAGGCACACATGTGGTGCACTTACACACATATAGGCAAAACAGTCATACACATTTTAAAAAAACACAGTTTGCAAAAGAGTTTCACACCTTTGAGCCTATTTTCAGTTAGAATTTTCATGCTGTGTGAGCTCTCACCAGGACTACTTAATGATGTCATTTCTGTGCTTTGATGTGTCAAGGTTTAAACTCTTTTTGGTCTACTGTAAGAGATCAATGATCTCATATATTCAGATTACACACATGCCAATGCCTTTTCTTATTTAAATAGAATCTCCTGGCCACACCATATCCAAGGCTGCTTCACATTCCTGCATTTTTCTAATTTACAGATCTTCTGTTACTGTGGGGTCATGGGTCATCCATTTAGCTCACATTGCTCTGTTGCATGGGAAAGATGCCATCTATCCTACCAGAAGCTTGCTCAGAGCCAATGGGAAAGAGGAAGAAAGTCCTCTGAGAGTTCTAATGCTCCACCATGGGGCAGCAGTAAGTGACAGCCCGATTTCCATCTCACACCAAAGCTGTCATGGGTGTTCTCCACACCATGGTACCACGAATTGCCAACCTTTCAAAATGACTTGAAAAAGAATTTCAGAGCATATAAACTATTTTACTTGAAATGATCAAACATTGCTTGATTCTTATTGCAACTTAAAGTACTTTGACTAAAGGAAACAGAAGTATGAGTTCTGATATTGACACTTGAAATAACACTTGTGGCATTGGACATTAGTAAACCTGTTGCTTACCTTTTTCCCAATGTGGATTCCCGGGGAGTCGGCTTCCACAATAAACCCAGTAAAGGCTTTGCTGGCAGGAACTTTGGGATCTGGATTAGAACGTGCCAACAAGAAATACCTAATACATACAAACCATGACAACAACATGTAAATGAACCACACACGATTACTATCTCAGTCAATAGCCACAGTCCCTGAAATCACTAACCTCTATTAACAGAAAAGGCAGTGAAAACCAAACAGCTTTCAACACAGCTTTCAACCTCCTCTGTGGTCTGACTGTTTCCACCAGGTCTACTTCTCAACTGATTCAATGTTTAAACTTAGTACAAATTCCTTCCACAAAGAAAATATGCGGGGCAGGAGAGATGGCTCAGCAGTTAAGAACACTGACTGCTCTTGTGGAGGACCCAGGTTCAATCCCCAGCACCCATATGGTGGTTAACAACTGTCTGTAACCCCAGTTCTGGGGACTCCAACGCCCTCTTCTGACCTCCAATGGCATTGCACAACATGGGTGCACTTACATATGTGTAGGCAATACACCTACACACATAAAATAAAAATAGATAAAATATTTAGAGAAAGAAACTATGAAAATAAAATATGTATATATTGGAACTGTCATCTCTTCTCTAAGCCAATTTTATGTTCTAAGGGATGAGCTGTCTGGAAAAGGAGGACAAACAGGGCTGTTGGAAGAATGGTACAAAACATCAGGTACAAAAAAGACTCTGCTGTGAGCCTGCCCCCTATGAAGCAAGGCGGTGGACAAGTTATAGCTGGATTATTATGAATATTCACTGGGTTTTCCCACAAAAAGATTTTTCTCAGAAAGATTTTGAAACAAAGCATGGGAAGAAAGGAAAGAAAGAAAAAATATCCAAGTTGGTTTTCCACACATCCTGATATAGTTTTTTTTTTTGAGACAGGGTCTCCCTGTAGCCCCAGCTGTCCTGGAACTATGTAGACCAGGCTGGCCTTGAACTCACAGAGATCTGCCCGCCTCTGCCTCCCAAGTGCTGGGATTAAAGGTGTGTGCCACCGTGCCCTGTGATACAGATTTTTAAAAAAGCCTTTACAGAAGGGCAGAGGTATGGCTTAGAGGTTGGACTCATGCTGAAACCTTGGGGTCAGTAATAGCTCAGGGAAGTGGGGGGAATTTATTCTTCCTTAAACAACAAATTTATTTTTATGCTAAAAACCAATCATCTATGTTTATTATCATTGACTAGGGTTTTATTTAGTAATAGGAAAACACTGAAATTATTTTCTATTTCATATATTACCTAACCTGCTTTCACCAGGAGAGAGCTGTACTCAGTTCTTAGAGGAACTTGTTCAGTCTTCATGGGTTCTTTTTTTTTTTAATATTTTATTTATTATTTTTATTTTGTGTACAAGTATATTGCCTGCATGCATGTGAGGGCCCCCATGTCATGCAATGCTGTGGAGCTCAGTAGAGGGCTTTAGATTCCCCTGGAACTGGAGTTAAAGACGGATTATAGCCGCCATGTGGGTGCTGGGAATTGAACCCGGGTCCTCTGCAAGAGCTGAGCCATCTCTCCAGCCCCCTTCATAGGTTCTTTATTTACTTGCTGATGTGAGGAAGCTAAAGGGTAATGATACTAAATGCAGCACTGGACACATTGAGACACTCAAAGGAGACTGACAGATATTTCAAATAGTTTCTCAGGAGGCCTACTTGCAGCCCTGGCTCCTGAGCAAGGCAAGGAGCTCACGCTGTGAGCTACACAATTTGCCAAGGGGGGATGCTTTTCCATATTGTGCATCATATAAATATATTGAAGCAGAAATTTTTCAGAGCCAGGTGTAGTGGCTCATACCTGCAATCTCAACATTTGGGAGGCTGAGGAAGTGTAAGGCCAGCCTGAGCTCCAGAGTGAGACTGTTAAAAAATAAAGTAAAATAAAGCTAACAACAACAAATATAGACATTTTTTCCAAAGAGGAATCAGGTTACTAAGTCCATTACCCCAATTTCCCAAATTCCTTCTAAGAAATCTCTGTTACATGTTTGTAGTAGTGGGCAAAACATTATTTTCTTTTCTTTTGGTCTCCCTGTAGCCCCAGGTGGCCTGGGACTCACTCTGTAGACCAGGCTGGCCTCGAACTCACAGAAATCCGCATGCCTCTGCCTCCCAAAGGCTGGGATTAAAGGCGTGAACACCCACACCTGGCTTGCAAATTAGGCTTCTTAAAGTTAATCTGAAATAACTCAAGTGCTTAAAAACAGCTGAGTCACTGAACTATTTGTAATCTCATACAGACTTCCCAGTTTAGTGAATATGGCTTAAATAGACGGACTAAAAATAGACAAAGGGAAGATCCTGAGCATGAAGTAATTCAAAAGAAATACAGATATATTTCAAACGCTTACCAGTTAGCTTTGCCCCCATTGGTGATCCACATCTTCTGACCGTTGATAATGTACTCATCCCCTCTCTTCTCCGCCTTGGTCTTTATACCAGCCACATCAGAGCCTGCTGATGGTTCTGTAACGCAGTAGGCCTGCAGTGTATGGACACAAGAAAAACATTACATGTTAAGCATTCGATTGTGACCGTGTCGCTGGGGATGGAAACCAGGGTCTCATGTATGCTCAGCAAGAGCTCTACCACAAGTTCTGCCCTAGCCCCTGCATTTTAAGTTTTGAAGATAAAAGTGTTTCTTAAATGTCTAAAGTTAAAATGTTCATGGAAAACCAAATAAAAAGCTCATGTCAAAATATGAAAATTAAACATTAAATGTTAGGTATATTCAAACAAATTCATTAAATTCAATTTAATTTATACTGAGAGACCTGAGTGACTCCATCTTGGATAAAACCTCCATGGGATTGACCCAGCCCTGAACCCTATTCCAGGAAAAAACACAAAAAAAATATGCTTGGAACAGATAGAGAACTCCCCCGCAACAGTCAATTAACAAGGGACAGGAAAGTACTAAAAGTCCAAATGTCTCTTCAGAGTTCCTGAAGGCAGCAGTTTATGGTTTGGCACTGGGCTGCAACCAATCAGATACTTGCCAGGCTGGAGACCCCTTACCCCCCTACTTGCTGAACTTGCTGAAATAAAGCTATAAAAATCTCTGTCTCCCAAAGCAAGGGGTCTCACATCTGAGATCTGCTGCGTCGGTGACAGAATGGGCCCAAGCTTAAGCTTGCAACAATAAAAAAACTCCTTGTGTGTTTGCATTGGTCGGCTCCTTGGTGGTCTCTGGGGTCTCGCGAGCTGGGCACAACATCTTGGGGGCTCGTCCGGGATCCCCAAGACTCCCCCCCCCCAGGACCCCCGAACTGAAGGGTTCCTGGCCGGCCAGTAAGTGTCTGTTTGTGTCTAGTTGTGCCTGTCTGTGTCTGTTCCAGCTTTTGTTTTGAGCCTCGAGGCAAACTTGTGAACAGTGTGGTCAGGAGCAGTTGGAGCAGACGCGCTGGATGACCGTGACCACAGAGGTCTGGAAGACGTTCCAGACCCCAGCAGAGGGGACGGAGGGCCCAGACTCTGTTGATTTCTGTGAAAGGACAAGGCAGGTCGCTCCCATGGAGTGGCAGTTTGCCACTGTCCTACTTTCAGTTTTTCTTCCGCACGAGCGGGGGAATTTGTTACTTGGCCTTCTGTGTGTCTTTCTGACTCTCTGTTTTGTCTTTGGTTGTCTATTTCTCTGTGGCTGAGATGGACGCAATGGGACAGACTCCCTCTATGCCCCTGGACCTGGTTCTTGCACATTTTGGAGATGTTAAGACTCGAGCCCATAACCTCTCTGTTGTTGTCAGGAAGAATAAACCAATTACTTTCTGCAGGTCTGAATGGCCCACTTTCAATGTGGGATGGCCCTCGGAGAGGACCTTTGATCCCACTGTCATTAACGCGGTTGAGAAAATTATTCTTCAACTACGTGTAGGACACTCGGATCAAATATCATACATAGTGGTCTGGGGAGATTTAGTTAATAACCCCCCTCCTTCGGTCAAGTCTTTTCTTCCTTTACAGAAAACTGAGGTGCTGACAGCTGCAGAATGGAAAACAACAACCCAGAAAGCACCTAAGCCTGAAACCAAACCATCAGTACCGTCATTGTACCCTGTCTTACAAGGCAACACAGAAGATCTAATTTTTCCTCCCCCTCCTTATCCACCTCCCCCACAGGAGGTACCCCCTCCAGAACTGGCACCCCTTGTACCAGATTCTTCACAGGCACAGGGGGGACCGGCTCAGGGGACTAGGAGTAGAAGGGCAGCAACACCAGAGGGTCCAGACTCTACTGTTCTACCCCTCAGAGTCGCCGGCCCCGCGGATGAGGCTGGCAACCAGCCCCAACACTATTGGCCATTCACCACTAGTGACCTTTACAACTGGAGAACCCAGAATGCTCCCTTTTCTGAAAATCCTAAGGAGCTTATTAATTTATTAGAAACTGTCTTATTCACACACCAACCCACTTGGGATGATTGTCATCAATTATTACAGGTTCTGTTTACCACAGAGGAAAGGGAACGTATCCAAACAGAAGCCAGGAAGTTAATTCCTGGCAATACTAGTGTCCCTACTACTGACCCGACACTGATTAATGCTGCCTATCCACTGACCCAGCCTGATAGGGATTATAATACTGCAGAAGGTAAGGGGAGGCTTCTGGTTTACTGCCAGGCTCTGTTGGCAGGTCTCAAAACAGCTGCTCATAGGCCAATTAATTTGGCAAAGGTATACGATATTAATCAGGAACTAAATGAAAGCCCAGCTGCATTCTTGGAGCAAATAATGGATGCCTTCCGCAGGTACACTCCATTAGATCTGGAGGCTAAATATAGCGGCAGTGGCCATGGCTTTTGTTAACCAGTCGGCTCTGGATATAAAAAAGCTCCAAAGAGTAGAGAGACTGGGTGAAAAGAGCTTAAGGGATTTAAAAACTGTGACTGAGAAAGTGTACAATAATAGGGATAGTGCAGAGAAAAAAAACAGATAAAGGCAGAAAGAAGGCACAACAAGGACCTGGCAAGGATCCTGCTGGCTGCCACTGTGGATCCAGAGGATCGGCGGAGGCGTCTGAGACAGATAGTGTCAGGGAAGGGAGTCTCTTGCAGTATGTGGATGACCTACTTGTGGTGGCAGACAGCCACGAGGCTTGCATGGATGGCACAGAACACCTGTTGCAGATGTTGGAAAGCCTGGGCTATCGGGCCTCTGCTAAAAAGGCCCAACTATGCAAACAACAGGTCCAATACTTGGGCTATATACTCAAAAAAGCACTACTGGTAAAAGATGCTGACAAACTGACTTTGGGCCAGAACTTGACCATCACCACACCACATGCAATCAAAGGAGTTTTAAACCAGCCCTCGGGCAGGTGGTTAAGTAATGCCCGTATAACCCATTATCAGGCATTACTTCTTAATCCTGCTAGATTCACCTTCCAGGTATCAGTTGCCCTGAATCCAGCCATGCTCTTGCCGGACCCAGACTTGGATGCTCCGCTGCATGATTGTGCTGGAATCCTGGCCCATGTCCATGGTACCCAATCAGATTTGAGAGATACCCTGTTATCTGATGCTGAAGTAACCTGGTTCACTGATGGGAGCAGCTTTGTCCAGGGTGGCAAGAGGTATGCAGGGGCGTCTGTAGTATCATTAACCGGCATCATTTGGGCAGAGCCTCTGCCCACTGGCACTTTGGCCCAAAAGGCTGAACTTATTGCTCTAACTAAGGTGTTGGTATTGGGAAAGGACAAAAAGCTTAATGTGTACACGGACAGCCGATATACCTTTGCCACCACGCACATTCATGGGACAATATATCGGGAACGGGGCTTATTAACAGCAGAGGGAAAGACTGTCAAAAATAAAGAAGAAATCCTAACATTGCTGAGGGCTCTCTGGCTACCAAAAAATTGGCAATTATCCACTGCCCAGGTCATCAAAAAGGGGGTGATCCAATTTCCCAAGGAAACAATCGAGAGGATCAGGCGACTAAACAGGCTGCCCTCCAAATTGACTCAATCTTGGTCACCACACTAATTGACCCAGGTGACCCAAACCTCCCTGAAAAGCCCAAATACACCAGGGAGGACCTGAAATGGATAAAGGGACTGCTGAGGACCCAATGCCTGGAAGGATGGTGGAGGCCAGCAGAAGGGAAGCTGATCCTCCCGGAAAAATTAGGAAAACAAAAGTTGGCAAAAATACACCGTTCTTCCCACATGGGCATCAAGAGGATGCAGGACTTAATTCTACATGCCGAAGTAAAAATCAAGGAGGCTGATTTAAAGATTAAAGACATTGTCAATGGC